TTTTTTTTTTGCTTAATTGGAGATTTTCTTCTAATTTTTTGATTATTTATTTCGTATAGCAAAGAAAAATTTTTGATGTTTTGATCTCTTTAAAACTGAATATGAGTTACCGAAGAATAAGCTTCAAGTTCTGCATCACTATATCAGCTTAAATCAGTTTTCTTTCTTTTTGAATGTATTTTCTCATAAAACAAATTCTTTTTTTCTCACATTTTGCAAAATGTTCAATGTTTTTCTTTTTTTTAATGTATATAAATAATAAGAATTAACGGTCAATTGTGTTGTCTCAAGTCAATGATAAATCATGTCATAATTTGAGCAAATGAAGAATTTTTGTCTCAATGTTGTTGCATGTGGCTTTAACACAAGACGATCTGTTTCACTGTCCTTGTTGATTGTACACATATTATTATAAGGCATTTTATGGCAGACTGCATTTCAAATATCAGAAAAAGGTGATCAAAATCGCATGTTTAGCACCTGTTGTTTGTTTAGTTATTGTTTCAACTTCTGCTATTGAGACCTTTTTACACAATGGTTAGTGGTGATTAAATTATGGCTGTTTAAGGGTTAAAAAAAGCTGTACAGTTTATTGCTTTTAACAGTATCATTAGCCAAACCTTCATTGCCTAAATTATCTGTCAGGTTACTCACTCCCTGTTTACGCTTCATACAGTTACTGAGCATGTCAAAGCATTATTGTTGAATGTCATTTTAAAATGACCTTAAACTGGTATATGGCCAAAAAATGTGTACTGCTTGCCATGTCAATATTATACGGCTTCACTGCTGAGCTTGAGCTTGTTGCTTTTCATACAAGGCGGTTGACATCATAAGTTAGAGTTCCGTAAAACATCTTTCAGTACAAAATTTATAGTGTACCAAAGATAGGGAGTATATTAGGCATTTATACGATTCCCATACAAATGAATTGGACATATTGGACATAAAATAAATTCATTCCATAAACTGCTGGCTAAGGACCGCAGTCCCCAACTGATTTTTTTGGTTTTCTTTTGCAAATTCAGTTAATGGTCGATGCTATTCTTCAAAAAATTATTTCTTCCTTGTAAATCAATTAATCTTCTGTGACCTGATTTTATCTTATTTGTTGGCAATATGCTTTTTTAAGGGTTATGGCACGAATGCGAAGTTCGTCCATGCAGCTCATCTGAAGAAACACCAAACGAATGCGACCCTGTTATGAGACTTTACAGATGTATAATTCTTTCTTTTATGTACCATGATTTCTTGTTTTAAAATAGAAGAGATGTTGTTATCTACAAGCAAAAGTTTTTAATCTTTCTTTTATCTAATGTCAAATTATATTTTAGCTAATAGCCATAGCAACGAGAACTGTTCCATGAAACGGTATTCGGATAAAAATGCATTTCACCGCATTCCTGAATATGCTTCCATACGACGTAAACCTCAACTTGCGGAGTTGGAGGCCGAATTAATAAGCTTACATGGTAGGATAATCAGAATTGCATAACAGTAATTTACCTGTTCAGATTTTTTGAAAGATTCACGTGACGTACTAAAATTCGTAAACAAGTTGTAGGTTCTGAACGTGGCATTGACGTATGGTCACCGACAGCACAGAATCACTCCTTACCTCCTCGTCCACCAGCTCGACACTCGTCGGGAAAAGCTGGACGTCCACCACCTCCTCCGTATAACCCAGCAACAAGGTTTTCAAAAACTTTACCGACATCACCAAAACCGCCGCCTCCGTATCCTGGTCGTTGCACGGTATGTTTACCATTTTGAAAGTCATGCTCTTTTCCTAAACTTTTTCGTGGCCAAATGACCATGCTTAGCTGAAATTGTCTTCAAAATTTTAGACGCCACCACGACGGTGCGACTTTAAACCGCAAGATTCATCGACACCGAAAAGTGAAGTTGATACTGTTGTCGGAGAAGGAGAATCAAGGCTTATAGTGCGGAACAAAGAAGAACGTGCTCAGAAAGCGTTAAGCATCTATGAAAATGTTGATTGCGATCAGAAGAATGGAAGTACGTTATGGTATGAATATGGATGTGTTTGAATGGTACACTGTAAGCCATTAGATAATGTAAATTGAATTTAAAAAATACACGTCTTTATTATATAGATTTTTTTTTTGTTTTTGTTTTCGATACATAATAAGAATTGTATTTGATGACGGTGAACAGTGATAATCGAATGGTTTTCGAGGAAACACATTTTTTTGCTGTTTAAATTGTTAATATTTGACTTAGAAACATTTTTTCGTTTTGCTTGAAAGCAGCTTAGGAGGATAGAAATTTGTCAGATATTTTTATGATTATGATCTGCCGCAATTAGCATTCTTTTGTCACTCAGTTAAGTGTACAGCAAGATTTTTCTGTTATTTTTACATTTTTTTAAAACTTTCTTCTTTTTTTAGATTTGGGAAATTTTCTAAATTTTAATTGGTAACAATTTTTATGTGGAAGAAAACAAGAAGAAAAAGAGTTTGTTTTTTTGCTAATTAATTTTAGTCTTTTGTTCTCATTGTGAGTCAGTTTTTTATCATTTATTTGTTTCTTTGTTTTTTTTTTTCGTTTCTTCATTTATTCATTCATTTCTGTTTATTTGTTTCTTTGCTTTGTTTCTAATTGTTTCACGCAATTTACCGTATTTTGTCGCTTAAAAAAGAACAAATTTACATTTTTTTTCCTATTAGAATCGGTGGTTTGTAGGTTGATATTTATGTGAACGATGAAGGCTATTTTGCTGGATTGTTTGCAGTCAAAAATAAAAAAAATACCGTTTATCTTTTAATGTGAGTTTTAAAAGATTGATTAATATGTTTATCTGTAATCATCTGAACTGTAATTCTCTAAAGTGAACTAA